TACCCTAAGACTTGGGACCTAAAGACAAATATAACATGATTCTTGGCTTCAAGCTCATAGTCTAGCAAGAGAGGTAAACCTCTACATAGGTAACTTATTCTAAAGTTCTTATAGCCGTTGTAATACAGCCTAAGATTCACTATAAAGAAAATACAAAGTGCCATGCAGTCCTGGAAAATGGGACGTGTGTCAAGGAATTTCAAGAATGGTACTGCATAGGCAGTAACAGCTTAACTGAACTTAAAATATAAATAGGTGTACATCAGCAGAAAGGGAGGGAAAATCATTTCAGACAGAAGGGATGAACAGCATGGGCAAAATTATATTATGAAAGAGAATGAGAAATTTGGGAGCAGTGAGAAGTTAGAAGAATGCTGATGTACGGTGTGGGTGGTGGAAACAGTAAGGTGGGGGGAGGAAAACTTCAAGGTTGTAGGCATTTAAGCCGGAGAGGCTGTTGGAGGACAGTGTATGAAGTTACTTTCAGAGTAAGGCAATTGATTTTATTCTGGAGGCAACAGAGCCAAGGCGGGGTTTTGTTTGAAGCTGTGATAGTGTCAGTTTTCGGACAGCGACTCTAGCTGGAGCATTGAAGGCAGGCTAGAGGAAGAAGGGAGATCAGTGGGGAAGCTTTTATTAAACCCACACAGGAGACGAAACCTAAAATATTCAGAAAAATCACAAACAGAGCATTGAGTGACTGCTTCAGTTGGAAGCATAGGGAAGGATAAGGAGAGAGACGAGTCACTGAGGCAGGATGAGAATGGGGCAAGGGCAACGCAGGGGACAGTGCGAGGAGCCTGGTGGTGGGCACAGCCGGAGCTGGCGCAGCTTTGCAGAGCTGACTGGTCAAGCTGGCTGGAGTTGCTCAAGACTGGGGCAGAATGTACCCCATGGACATATCCCACCCTTTCCCCTGTCCTTCTGTTCCTGCCCCAGTAGAGGAGCCTCTCATCCCAGGCTGTATAAATTCCTCCTGGATACCTGCACCTCATCTAGCATCACTATTTTTCTAAGCATCACCACACCTTTTCTGTAAAGGGCCACATATTAAGTATTTTAGGTTATGCAGGGCCAAAAGGTCTCTGTTGCAACTACTTAGCTCTGCCACTGCAGTGTGACAGCAGCTGTGGACAATGCATAAGCAAATAGGTGTGGCTGCATTCCAATAAAACTCCATTTACAAAACCAGGCACTGGATTTGGTGTGCAGGCTGTAGTGTGTTGACTCTTGCCATACACTTCAGTGTCTAGCCTTCCTAAAGCACCATTTTTACTCTTTCTTGCATGGCTTTTCTTTAGAAAAACATAAGCAAAGAAGTTGCCTTTTCAGGTCAGTCAGCAAACCCCATATCCCATCTGAGCGGCCCAAGAGCACCCACACGTCCGTTTCTGGTTACCTACTCTTCTCATTCCTTATTTGCTACTGTAAAGAGGTGAGTTAAAGAGCAAGTTCTTCCAAGCTGAAAGGACATTGGAATATTTATGAGAAATGAAAGCTTGCCAACGAGGCCGTCTCCCCTCAAGTATCCTGAAGGAATCATAAGAGTGATGACCCCAAGCCAAGAACATTGGATGGCATTTGGAAAGTTCATCTTCTCGTTCCAGATTCCTAACTTTAAAGGTCTGGTTTTCCCATGTTGGTATTTCATTTAGAAAAGCTCATTTCTGCATGCGCGCTCCGACCTTGAAGTGGCACATTACAAGCTGAAACCCAGAAGCCTTATGCTTCATTATGAGTTCCTTCAGAGAGTCAAGCAGCTGCCTGTGGAGTACGGCTACGGCGAGTACAGAGATCTCTTCCGCGATTTCGGGACGCACTACATCACAGAGGCCGTGCTCGGGGGCATTTATGAATATACACTCATCATGAACAAAGAGGCCATGGAGAGAGCAGGTACGATTTCCTGATGGGGCACCCGTGAACTGTGTGAGTTGATGGGGAGATGTTTCTATTGTCAGTGGGGGAAGAGTTGGAGGTAATGCTCCTACTTTTCCTCCCATAGCTCCATTTGCAGATTCCTCCTCCTCTTTTTAATTTGTTAATGTTGGCCTTCCTCTGCCCAACCCTCTGTCTAGGCAGTCGTCTTTTACAGCTGCTCTCTCTAGACAGTAGCACCCACATGGTTTTAAATGCCTTCAGCACGCATATAACTCCCAGTGCATATACCCATCCTGGACCTCTTCTTTGCACCCACGAGCTTATATCAAAATGCCTCCTTGATATCTCCATGTGAATATCTAACAACCATCACAACCTTAACATGCCCCAAAAGAAAATTCTTGATTTTCTTTCCCAAATATATTCTTCCATAGTCAACCACATCTCAGAATGGTTCCACCGTCCAACCAGTGGCTCACACCAAAAATCTAGGAGTTGACCTTGATTATTTCTCTTTCCTTCCTGTCTGTTAGCAAGTCCCATCAGCCCTACCCCAAAGTTACATTTCCTCTCTGTCTTTATGGTTACTGTCTTACTCTCACCCAAGGACCAGGGCTTTTCAATATTTAATGTGAATGTGAATTATCTGAGAATCTTGTAAGAGGTTGATCTGATTCAGTAAGTTTGAGGTGAGACCCAATATCCTACATTTCTAATGAGCTTTGATATGATGTCAGTGTTGCTAACCCATAAACCACACTCAAAGAGCAAGGTCACGGACTATCACCGTAGCCTCCAAGCTAATTAGCTTCCATTCCTCCTCTACATCCATTCTCCACGCAGATACTGCAGGTCTTCCCAGTTGTGATCAAGTGCAAGTCAATCACATGCAATGTGTGATTCCTGCTGCCCAGCCCGGGATTCTTTGTTGCCATGTGACCCTCGTCAGGTTAAGTGATCTGTCCTAGGTCATTCAGTTTACAGTGGCAGAGCCAGGGCTTGGCTTAAGTCCAGGGTCCTTGCAAGAGGACACATAGTATATAATGTAAATTTTTGGCAGTGTGGCCTCAGTCTTGCCAAGATCAAGGGTACCTTCCTCCATACCAGTGGTTTCAAAAGTGCTTTTCATTTTTCCTCAAACTGCCTTCTACAGAAGGCCACTGTGATCAAAGAAGCTGGAGAAACAAAAAAGACCCTACTTTTAGAGTTTCACAAGCATACTGACATAAAACCACCTCTCCTCTTCTTTTGATACAACATTGGTTACACTTACTTGACCAAAGAAGCCCCTTTTTCTTGTAATACTTACTATTACAATAATTATAAGAGTTATTTATCATGGGATTCGTGTTTTAAAGAACATGCTTTGGGGAAAACCGATCTGCACCAGCATTGCTAGACAATCCCAGTGGTCAAAATTGCTGCTCTCTTCCCCTTACACATGCTTCAAAGCGCTATAGAAAGGTGCTTGCAAGTCACACCAGAGATTTCAGCCAGGCCAGGAGAGAGGGATGCCCTGGGGGGAATTTGAGAGGAACAAGTAGGAAATAATCCAAAAGTGGAAAAGAAATAAGGGAAATTGTGCCCTCTCTTTGCCATGTACTATATCAGATCCTTTATACATATTGCCACAATCAATTGACAAGCTCTTTCTACTCTATCAAAACTTAGAAAAGAAATTGTGAGGGGAAGGTGGGCAGATCGCAGCAGCCTTTACTCACTGGCTCTATCCTAGAGACTTGATAAGGAACCACATTTTTAAAAAATGACTCTGAGCATTCCCCTCTTTGGAGGGCAGCAAAAACCTCTCAGAGCCTTTGAGGAAGCTAGAAGGTGAAGTCAGTGCTGGCCTTATGAGCTCTCTGCCCTGGTGCCAGTAGCTGACTACATTTCTTGTCTTCAGGCCGGCACTTCCTTTATAGGAAGGGCTGGAGGTCTCTGGAATCAATCACAGGAAGAGGGACAGGGTGGATTGTCTTTAAATCATGACCTCTTTCCTTGCTTTCCAGATTACTCTCTCAAGGATGTCCGTTCCTGTGCTATGAATGGTTTTAAAATCGGTGCTGCCATCAAAGCGGTCTACGTCTCACTGGGTGTGTCAGTGGGCTCATGCCAGGGTATCCTGAAGGAAATAAAAGGTGAGGGGCAGGGGCATTGTAATACTTACTATTACAAAAATTATAAGAGATATTTATATGCTTATCTTCCTTCCTTTTCTAGCACTACAAAACCCAGTCTTTCTTTAAGCTAAACACTGGATTTCAACTAAGGCCTTAGAATAAAAATAATAATCATTCATTGAATAACACTGAGTAAATCATCCATTGAATAAAATTTACCTACCTCCTATTATGTGCTGGGTCTACAAAAATGAATGAAGCTTGGTTCCTTCCCTCATGGTGCTCACATGCAGAAGGCAGACAGCGACAGAACCACTGACAAATCACTGAGAAGCAGCAAGCCCAGGCTGAAGCACCAGGGCAGGCTTCCCAAAGAAGGGATCATTTGAACGGCCACTCAAGGAATAAAGTATCAAGGTAGTGTTTTAGTCAGGAAAAAAAAAATCTAACAATGGAAATTACTCCAAGGTCTGGGAATTGGCCTGGCTAGAGGTAGGATGCTGCATCCGAGGCAGGTGGAGGAGGTGGGGGAGACAAGTGAGGAGACAAGTCTGTCCCGGAATCAATGGGCTAGAGGAGCAGGCAATGCCACAGATCATGTAGCAGAGCCCACATGGCAGGAGAGGCCAGATGGGAGGCCAGGACATAGAGCCAAGTGTCCAGGAGCAGGGAGCTTGGGAGCCATACAAGGGTGTTGGGACTCTCTTAGCCAGTGGATTAGGGGAAAGAGGCTCCAATCCCCAACCCCTTCTGCCCCCTGAGCCCCTCTCCCTCATCTGCTCTGCTTACCAAGCCTGTGTCTGGGATCATATATGAAGAAAGAGTTTCACAGCTGAAACGAAACAAAAAACGAATTTAACTACTGGTCTAAAACAATTCCTTGGACTTGAGACCAATGTGTGGTTCATATTGTTTATTTGTTCATTTCGCTGGGGCTGTATTAGAAGATGCACCCCAAGGGAAAGTCATACATAAGACATAAGTACCCTTTAAAGAAGACTTGCAGAGACCGCCCATCCAGGTCACCAGACAGCCCACTGCCCAGCCCTCCAGAAACCCTAGCCAACCACAATACCGCCTCCCTTTTGGAAATACCACCATCCTGATTGCCGTGTTAAACATGTCCTTCCTTTCTTAATAGTTTTACCACCCATATGTGTCACTGACCATTATGGCTTGGTGTTCCTTGTTTTTGAACTTTTCATGAACAGAATATATTCTTGTCAGTTCTTTATTTTTAATTCAACATCATTTTTTTCTGTGTAACTACAGTTCGTTCATTTGTATTGCTGCATGGTATTTTATTGTATGAATACAAGTTTTGTCTATTCTTTTGAATTTGGGTTATTTCCTTTTTCAAGTAATTATCATCAGTGCTGCTGTGAACATTCTTACACAGTCATCTCATGCACACATGTGAGTGTTTCCCTAGGGACTTGACCTAGAAGTCAAATTATTGGGTTTCAAAGCATGTTCCTTTTTCTAGACAAGATAACAGCAAGCTGTTTTCTAAAATGTTGTACCAATGTACATTCCTACCAGCAGTACACAAGGCTCTCTTATTATGATGCTCAGGTGTTGCAGACTCAGAGCTGAGGAGTCACTTGACACCGGTTCTTTTCGCACTGGGCACACGGACAAATTAGAATGGGAATGACTCACTGATACGATGGCAGGCTTTCTAGAAAACTCCATGACAAGTCAAAATGTCACATGCAGAGCACAGTCTTTATAAATTTTCCTACCTTTGTCATCCCACACAAAGAAGTGATGTAGCTTAGAGCTTAGGCAGGGCTATCTGGGTAAATTCCTTTACCCCTAGTGCCTAAGATTGCTTATCTGCAACATTAGAATAATATAGTTCCTATTTCATAATGAAGATTAAGTGAGTTAAAACACATATAACACTTAGTCATTAATACATAAATGATCAATAATCTACATATCTATGATCTATGAATCTGTATTTTTATATATATGTATCTAACAGCTTTCCATATCCTATAGACTCAATTAATGTCTCAGTATTTATAGATGCTGAAAATAAATGTCCCTCCCTTGCCCTGCCCCCACCTTGGGTCATATACGATTGGGTGAATTGCCTCTTTGCCCCAGCACCATGACTGCCTTGCAAGCAGGCCTATGTCTTGTCTACCTGCATCTCCAGGACAAGCTCAGTGAATACTGTGGTAACCAAGTTGGTAGTTAGGTTGCAGTAAATCCCAAAGTGCGAAAGTGGATCCCCTAACATGCCAGGTCTCTTTGCCAATTCCAGAAAGAAACAACAGAAACACTATGGTGGAGGACTTGGTGGTCCTTGTGCGAGGAGGAGCAAGTGAGTACATTACTGCCCTGGCATATAAGGACCTGCCCACAGCAGACCTGATGCAGGAGTGGGGGGACGCCGTGCAGTACAACCCAGACATCATCAAAATTAAGGTACAGCTGAGCCCCTGTTCTGTCTCCTTTTCTCTACTCAGAAAATAGATTATGAGGGGCTACTATGAGCCAGGTATGGGATGCAGAGCTCAGTAAGATATAGACCCTACTCTACTCTTGAGTCACACCCATTATAGGGGAAAATAGATCTGTAATGAACCAATTACATTATATATACTGTTCAGCACTGGCTAGAGACCCCGACTTCTCTCACTTGGGCTCCTAAGTTGCTAAAGGAAATTGACCATCAATTTCTAATTCTAGCCATTTAAATTACTAGTGTTTCCATTTCTTCAGAGAATCACTCATTTAGTTACTTATTCTTTTAAACATTCATTCACCCAACAACCAATAGTTGCTAATGTGGCAAGAACTGAGACACTGGAAGAAAACAGGAAGATGCAAAGAGGAAAAATGCATTCTATGCTCAATAGTGAGGCACATGCAGACATAACTAGCTCACAGGACAGGATACTATATCATGGTAATCACTAACACATTTGGGGCACCTACTATACCCATGACAATCTGTCAGGGGCTTTAGGAATGGTATTTCATTTAATCTTCACATGTCTGCAAATTAAGTATAAGCATGTTTACATTTAATTTATCTCCATTTTGGGTAGATAAAAATCAAGGTCACAGAGGTTGCATCTATCTGTGGCTGCTCAAAAGTACCGATTAGGTTTGGACCTGAGACTTTGACCCCCCTCCCTCCCCTCTAGACTTTCATGTGGTTTGGTGAATAAAAAAATTATGATCCCAACCACCTGTCACCCAAACAAGAGCAGTTTTAAACTAAAAGGACGTTTGCCAGAACAGGGCTGTCACGCATATCAGCAGTGGAAGGTACTTGCCTGTGCGGACTTCAGCACAGTTGTCCATGTTGCATCTAACACCGTGCTCTTCTTGCCAGTGTCTGTACAGTCATTGGTGGCCCAGTGTCCACCCCCCAGAGATTTATTTTTGTAGCCAAAGAGGGAAGTTGAGGGGCTAGAGCTCTGATGGGAGGCTCTGAAGTTCCCAACCCTGGCAATTTCAACAGTGTCCTTATTTGTATGCCAAATGCATAGTTTCTGCAGAACAAAAAGGGTGCCATTCAAATTCCCTCCTCTGCCACTTACTCAGTAGTGACACTTAGAGTACACTTGCTGCCAAGCATCAAGAAGGATAAAAGCTGCAGGCAGCTTCAGAGATACCTGGGAATGTCTGATGGCAGGGTGACATTGGTTCATGGCATAGACAGGCAAGAGAGAGAACAGAGTTCAGGAGAGATTAGATCCCCAATCATTTTTTATTTCCATTTATATCTTACCTGATATTTTTTTTTAAACTGAGAATTAATGGGTTTCCCTGGATACCTGTGTGAATGGTTGCATGTGCCACCCTGGACACTGGGAATGTCAAGTGCCAGGTCATGTGATATGATATGAGATGTGGGCATATGATGAGTATGCATGCGTGTATAAGGAAGAGGGAGAGAGGGGCAGAGGTAGGGTCTGCTAGCATGCTGAGCATCTCGGGCAGGCCTGCAAAAACTTACAGGTATGGCACTTTACTGAAGGCACAGAGGCTCCCCAGCTTGTATGGATGTAGTGGAAAGCATCATACCCACTCCAGCATAGTGCTGGGAAAGGCTGTGTGGACTGAGAGGGGTAAAGATTAGAAAATCAGAGCCATTTTCAGGAGCTGGGGAGGCAGGATTATTTAAGGTTTTTACACACTTCCTCTTTATGTCCTAATCTGAGTTGGAAATGTACATTCTGGGTGTCCCGCTCTTTCATGCACAGTTTCTGGCAAGAGAAAACAGCAGATGGCTTCAGATTATGTCAGAATTATTCTCTGCAGAACGAGCTTACCAGGTAGTGGGAGCAGCAGTTGCATTCCAGGATAGCAGAGCCCACTAGATAAGTAATTCCTCGACACAGAGTTGGCCAGGGTTTGTATACATACCCAGTCTTGAAGATCATGATCAGAAACATGATTCCTATGGGAGCCAGATGGGCAGGGAAGAGAACCGCAGAAGAGGCCGGTTACATTGTTTACTGGTAAGCTTTGGACACAGAGAGATGGCTGTATGTTCAAAAAAGAGCTAAAGAAGTGCCATGGACATACAAAGAGAAGTTTGAACACAAAATATTTAAATTACATTCAAGATGCAGAAGACTAGCATATGTCTAAAAAATGGAAAAATGGAAGTATATTTTAAAGTGTGTGCTTATAATAAAATGCAAGAAAATGAGGAATTTATTAAATAAAAAATAGAAGCAAAGATGTTTAGACACTAATCAGATGAAAAGGGAAGTAGCTGAATGTAGGAAACCAAAAGCACAATAGCAGAATTAAAACCTACATTGGAAACTATAAAGAACAGAATTGACACTGCAGAAAATTGAGTCAGTGATGTGGAAGATGCTAATAAAAATGTTCTTATAATGTAGAAGCAAAAGACAAAGAGATTAAAACAATGACATAAAGAAATATTATGGGCAGAGAGCACAGAAGTGGAAATCTAAAACCCAGAGACTTCTTCCTGAGAAAAAGACAAGATTAAATTTAAGGATACATTAATCAAGCACATAATAAAGAAACTTGCCTGAGCTGATAGTGCAAAATGAGCAGCTCATTCAAAAGTCGGCAAAAGTACTGAAAACAAAACCATACGGAAACACATCCTGGAGAGTTTTTTATTTAATTTTAGGAACAAATACATAAAAATTAAAGTCATCATGGTCTTTTGATTCTTGGCAACACTAAATGCCTGAAGACACTGGAGAGATAACCACAAGGTCTTGAAGGAAAGAAAACATGTGGCCCAGTGAAATGGTCATTAATGGATGAAAAATCCCGAAGACATTTTGGGATATTAAAGGAGTCACATAAAGGGTCTTCAGATTTAGCAAATGAAAATGCAGGAAGTCCAGTTCATTTTGAACTTCAGAAAAATACAGAATAACTTTTTTAGTGTAAGTATCTCCCAAATATTTCATGGGATATACTCAAAAACTATTTGTTGTTTATCTGAAATGCAGTTTTAACTGGGGGCATTCTGTATTTGGCAACCCTAGTCATAAAGTCTATCATCCGCATATGTTCCTATAGTATCAGGGTAGCTCAGCTGTGGTCTGGGATCCTGGATGACAGAGAGGCCACTGAATGGAGCTTAGGCCCAGGGCAAAGGGAAAAGATCGTAGTGAGGGTGCTCACACTGGGCTCATGTGAACTAGATGGCACTGCAGCGTAGCAACCCCCACATCTCCGTGACTTGTCCAACAAAAGTTTATTTCTCAGTCACACAACGTGTCCCCGGTGTATTGAGCAGGGGGCTTCCCTCCATGTCACCCAGAGACCCAGGCAGTGGAGGCTTTCTCTTCTCATGTTCACCCAAGACACCATAGCAGTGGTAAGGACATGGGGAAAGTTGCCTCATCTCTCTCTGCTCCTAAAGCTTCAGCATGGAAGGGCCACTCCCTCTGCTCAACTTCCCCTGTCACAACAGGTCACACTGCAAACCTATCCTTAAGGGTGACAGGGAATTACAGCCCTGCCCTGGATCCAGAGGAAAAGTTGTAGGCGAGCAATAGTAACAACCAGCGCCTTGTTCTGGCAGCTTACTCACAGATCCTCTGTAGGCAAATTGCTCTGAGCAGGAGAAGGTCTAAAGCACAGGTGTTGTGGCAGCATTGCCTGGGGAGAGCATGTCGATGGGCTGCTTGATCTCACCCACAAAATAAATTCTGAATCTCAGATAAGGAATGAATATAATTAAATGGCAGACAACACACCAACAAATGATTTTGCGCAACTGAAATCCTTAATGAGTGAGCGGTGATAAAAATTTATAACACAGACACATCTCAAAGGACATGGGACAATTCTCAGAAGAATTCAGGTGGTGAATAAATATGCAAACTTTTTAACTTCTCTAGGAATAAAAAAATGAAAATTAAAGGAACAGTGCAATATTTTTTAACCTATCAAATTGACAGTGATTAAAAATCTGTAATCCTCAATGTCACTGAAGGCCATGAGATATGAACTTCTATAAAATGAGATGGGGATACAAATTGGCTCAACACTTGAGGAAAGAATCAAACTATATATATGCAAAATATTAAAAATATTTATAGCTTTTGATCCAATAATGCCAAATGTAAGAAATGATTAAAGAAATAATTTTAAAAGTTAGTAATGATACATGTATAAAAACATGCCTTGTTTAGGTTATTTGTAGAGCAAAAAGAAAAGAAAGAAGGAAACAACCTAATGATTTAATAACAGGAGCGTTAAATACATTGTAGTTCATCCATATAGTAGGATACTGTGCTGCCATAAACATTGTATCAAGGAATATTGAATGACATGGGGAAATGTTCATAAAATGATGTTAGGTGAAAACAGTGGAATCTAAAACTGCACTTTTCTTATGCCGCCAATTTGGCATAAGTATCTGTCCATCTGCCTATTTAAAAGAATATATACTGAAAGGACACAAACCACATGGTAGCAGTTCAAATCCTTTTCTGCCATTTACTGACTGTGTGACTCAGTTCAATCTATTTGACTTTTCTGTGCGTCAGCCTTTTCATCTGTAAAATGGGGACACAAAGTATTCCCTTACTCATAAGATTGCTGTGAAGATTTAGTTAGATAGTGTATTACTTTGGCACCTAATAAATGCTACCTATGGTAATAAATATTTATCATTAGGAATGGCGATCACCTGGGTCCATCTGAGAGCATTACATGTTAGCAGACAGTGCCCACCATCCCTCTGCGGCAGTAGGATAAATAAAATTTTCATAAGAGCAAGTGTGCTGAGGACCCAGTGATCAATGTGAGTAGCTAGGACTGTGTGTTTGGGGAGAGATGGGGAATAAAGAGGGAAGAAAGAACAGGAAAGGGAGAGAGGGAGGGAGGAAGAAGAGAAGAGAGAGAAAAAGGACCAGCAAACCAAGGAATGGACATATAACATGTGCTGTGGTAACTTGGGTAACAAACGAGCTGCAGAGTCCTAAGGGGTCGCTGCTCAGTTCCAGGGCAAACCAGAGTCTGCAAAATTTTGGACAACCCTGGCAGAGAGGTCGGAAATAGGAATAACCAAGTGATTTTTATCAATAATTATGAACTAGTAGGATGAACAAAAAAAGCTTCGTGTTAGAATTCTGACAGTGCTATTTTATGAGTTTTTCGAGTTTGTTCATTATTTAACCTCACCTGAAAATGGGACTAATAATTGTTACTTTGTGAGGATGAAGTGGATCCTACCTGTAAACTGCCAGCATGGCTCATGGCACACAGGACACGCAGAAGGTGTGTTCCAGTTCTGCCACTGACTTGCTCTACCCACTGCAGCAAATCTCAGGCTGGTAGGAAAGTGCTGTGTGGTTAAAGGCAGCCTTTGAAGGTGGCCTGGCAGAAATGCAGGTTATTGGAGGAACTCACCACTGGCGTACTGCAACCCTCCCTCCTTTTCACTCCTCCCCTGTGTGGGGCCAGCAGGCAGGACGGTTCTGCAAACAGCCTCTGGATCAATTCATTGACCACAAAAGACTGAGACAATGGGACCACCAAGGGGCCTTGCTTTGCCCACTGGAGCGAAGGTCAGCATCAGATGCATTAAGAAATGGAAGCAATTTTCTTCCCACTGGAGGCTTCTATTAGGCATGATTGCCTGCATTTAGACAGACCCTAAACTCTCCAGGGCTGGATTAGGGCAGGATCACAAACAAAATCTGGAGAGGAGCCTGGCCCTGGAGCTGAAACTGGAGCCAGGAGGCCCTGAAAAATTTAAACTACCTCTTGGGACTTTCCTCTGGTTTTTCCCAGCCCACAAACACCACCACATCTGTCAGTGCCTTCCTCTTCTCAAACCCTGCCATGCCCACCGATCCACCAGCATCTCTCTCCTGTTTCTGGGCTCCGGCTGACCACACCCTCTCCTCCTGCCAGCTGCCCTTGCTCCAGGGAGGCCTCTGTGCCCGCCTTCATTCACCCATGTACTTTCACTAGCAGATCTCACTGAGCTTGGGCCTGGACCCTGGAAACAGAGCTGCACAGTATATCACCCTGATATCCAGGAACTGCAATCTAATGAGAAAAGAAAAAAAGGAGACTTCAACACATGAAAAATGTAATAACCACAAAGGAGCACAAGATAGAATTTGTACTGGATAAATAGTAGCGATAGGATTCTAAGCATCTGATGGTGGGAAGGTGTTCTGTGTGCTCTGGGGCACATGAAGGGCTTCCTGATGGTGGTTCTTGCACTGTGTGAATGATTTTAACAGGTGTGGAGTGGAAAGTGATGTTTGGACAGTGCTTCTAAAATACTTTAAGGGCTGCTTGAAAATCACCTCCTCCTCTGCACCAAAATCAGATTAACCACCTGCTCCCCTCTACCCATTACAAGTTCCCACTGCTACTATAAATACCCAGTAGGATGTTTGTCTCCATCTCTAGATTCAGAGTCTTGAGTGTGGGGATTTTATCTTACTCATAACTTATGCTTAATGCCTGGTGCTTAGGAGTATTCAGTAAGTGTTTGCTGACCTGAAACTTGGATGAGTTTATCTGTGGATATTAGGTGGGGTGAGAGAGAGAGAGGGTGGGGCAAACAGCTACACGCTGTGACATCCACCTAGTTCCACACAAATGCACCGAGGTCTCTGCACCCACCCCTTACCCTTACCTTGCTTGATGCTTCAAAGTGATGAACGTTTTCTGTTGGAATAAAGGCCTTTCTTCACATCCCAGGCAGAACCGCTGTATGAACTGGTGACAGCCACAGACTTCGCCTACTCCAGCACGGTGAGGCAGAACATGAAGCGGGCTCTGGAGGAATTCCAGAAGGAAGTCAGCTCCTGCCACTGTGCTCCCTGCCAAGGGAATGGAGTCCCTGTCCTGAAAGGTACTATTTCTAGGCCTTGGGTGTCCCTTGTAGAAGACAGCCTCTAGAGGGGCTTGTTCTGGGGCCAGAACACATTATCAAATCCACAGAGCCTCCAGACTATCTCCAGAAGCATGGCTAGGTCAACCCATAATCCTCTGTCTCAGGCGCCAGGGACTTCATTTTCTTCATTTTCTCAGGGGGAAAAAATGCCCTCCAGCAATGTGGAGCCTCTTAAAGGTGAGCTTCTCCACCCTGATTGGATATTAGGACCACTTGTGACTTTCAGAATTATGGCTGTCCGGGGCCCAACCTGGATCCTATGTGAGACTCTCTGGAGAAGGGACATTAGTCAGGATGCTTAAGTCCTTGCCAGGTCCTTCTAGACTGCAGTCTGGGTGTGACTCTCAGTAAAGTCCCTTCCCCACCTCCCTGGAGCATAAGAGATAGGATTGGACCAAAGAAACACCTGTACTTGGGTCCCACTCATGGCAAAGAGCACAGCGTCCCTCTAAGGGCACAGACCTGCCCAGGCTCCTGTGAGAATCACCCAAAAAGCTTTTCATAAACACAAAGCCCACCTGGCCTCAGTCCAATATAAATAAAGTGGACCACTGGGACTGGCCTTTGGAAAAGCCTGCCAGATGATTCCACTGCGGAGTCAGGGCTGAGAAGGGTTTCTACAGCTGAACTCACTGGCAGAGAGGATCCGTGATTTCACTGAGCTCACAAACTAGGGGGAGCCCTACACCGGACCAGGGTCACCCTGAAATGTACTGTGCATTACTGTAACTGGGAGCCTAATGATTTCCTAAGAAAGTAGAAAGTACAACACACTAGTGTCGCTGTCAGGATGCCTAGGTCTCAGCCACGGGACACAGTGGATGACAATAGCTTTAAACTAAAGACAGGAGCAGGCTGAGACCATGTGGTCTGCAACAAGCAACAGGGTGTCTCCCGGCCAAAGAAGGGGCCCTGGGCTGAGCAAGGAAACCCTTTGTGTGTGTCCTGAGCAGTACACGGTGAGAAGATTGGGGGACTGGGAGACGGCAGCACAAATGGGCCTCTAAAACTTGATTCCTAACTATAAGGGTCTTAGCCAGACTCACTGCAATGCACAGGGCAAATTTGGGAAAGGCTGAGGCTGGAGATCTTATGCTCCTGTTGTGAGGAGCTGAGGAAGAGTCTAGGCCGACATGATATCAAAACCGGACATCATGAGCAACTGGTAACAGCACATCCCAGCCCAGGTTGCCAGCTGGAGTCAGGGCAGAACCCACATGGTGGAGAGAGCTCTCAGAAAGGACACAAGAGAAGACTTATTCGCAGAGAGAAAGATCCTAGCTGCCCAGCTGGGACTGAGGAGTACGCTGTAGCTTCCTGGAGGAAAGCAGACATAAATAAGAGCCAAAGGCTGGGAGGTGCTGCCACCAGGACAAGGACACCTGAGTGGGGGCCAGTTCAACAGGAAGTGGCATCAGCTCCTGGCCCAAGGTTTTGATCTAGAGTTGCTGAAATCCCCCTTGCCTTGTGTGGGGAGCTGAACTTTAGAAGTTTTTTATTTCACATGAAATGACTCACATCCTCTCTGCATTGTCTTCTCAGGGTCCCACTGTGACTGCATCTGTCCTGCTGGATCCCAAGGCCCAGCCTGTGAGGTCACCAAGCACGAAAGTAAGGAGTCTTTTTTTTAATTGAAATATAATTGACATAATATGATACTGGTTTCAGGCATACACATAGTGATTCAATATTTATATACATTATGTAATGCTCACCAAGATTAAGTGTAGTTACCATCTATTACCATAACACAGTTATTACAATATTATTGACTATATTCCCCGTTGTACCTTTCGTCCCTGTGACCAATCCGATACAATCCAGTAATTCCATGTTTGAGTATTTACCCAAGGAAAACAAAATCATTCATTTGAAAAGATGTATGCACCACTACATTTATTGCAGCATAATTTACAATAGTGAAATTATAGAAGCAACCTAAGTATCCATCAATAGATGAGATAAGAAGAAGTGGTACATATACACAATGGAATATTACTCAGCCATAAAGAATGAAATCTTGCTATTTGCAACAACATGGATGGATCTAGAAAGTATTTTCTAAGTGAAGTAAGTCAGAGAAAGCAAGGAGCTTTTGAGAGTTGCTTGGAAAATAAAACTCTAGCAAAGTCCAGAGAACATGCAAAAGAACAAGAACAAGGTGGGGATGTCAGGTAGGGAGCTAGACACAATGAAACTTGAGATCTGTCCTAACTCCTGATTTTAAATGGCATTTTTTTACACCAGAGAGTGCTTTGTGTTACAGGACTAGGCCTTGGGTGGCACTTGAAAATTATCTATTTGGATCATTCTGGAATGCTTACCTTCTCTTTTCTTATTTAGTGAACTCCTATTCAACCCTCGAAATCCAGCACAGATGCCCCTTCTGTAAAAATTCTTCTAAGCCCCTCCCCCTGCCCACTGCCAAGTAGAATTGACTAATTCTTCCTGTGGACTCCTGTAGTACTTGAATATATACCTATTATGGTTCTTAGCATATTATATTTTGGGCTGTGTGTGTCTGTCTCCCCTGTGTCTATGAGTAGGGATCTTGTTCCATTTATCGCTGTGTCTCTATGACACAGCATAGTTACTATTCAGTTATGCATTAAATTAACAAATGAAAGACTAAATTATCTTTCAAATCCCTTCCAGGCCTAAAATTCTTCGCCCAATTTATTATCCAGTGTTTGTTATTACCTCCCCTTTCTTTTACTTTCTGTGACTTTTTGATGATACATCCAATAAAAACAACAAACATTTATTAGTTCTTTAATAGGTACCAGGGACTTTGCTGAGTAGTTGGACTCAGCTTGGGTTCAAAGTCCGTTTCTATTGTTTACTAATTTGACCTTTTTGTGCCTCAGTTTCCTCATGTATAAAATGGAGATGATATTAACTACCTCATAGAGTTTTCTTGAGTTTCTCATGAGACTTTTAAAGCACTTGGAAAGACACAAGTGCATGGTAAGAGCATGGTAAGGGCAGAATAAATATTGGTTAGTTTTTTATAGCAAAACAGTGTTACTTTATATTTTATGTGTATTAAATATTTTAATCTCTGCAACAACCTCATGAATGATTAATTTCCCCATTTTATAGATGAAGAAACAGGGCCAATGGGTTGTGACTTGCCCAGTGGTCACACAGTTGGTAAGTGTAGGAACCCAGGTTCGGGTGCAGTGGGTCCGATTCTACAGCCTTTGCTCTTGATGCCTGCCTGCACTATTCCCCCTGCAGCAAAATGCTCAGAGCTGCACCACCACTAGGCCCATCACCAGTAGGCCCCATGCAGAGACCTGCCCGGGAGGGTACAACTGTGCAGCCACAGGATCTCTACTGAATGGAGAAGACCTTGGACACCTCCAACTCCAGCCTTCTCATTTTACAAATGAGGAGGCCCAGAGATATTAAGTAATGTACTCAGAATTACACTGTGAGTTATAGGCTCAGCTAGACACATGATACATAATGGTGAATGTAATTGATTATTTGCCAATCTCATCAACAACCAAAATTTCCTCAAGGGAAAGGCAAATGTCGGGAAGGGGAGTGCACAGGGTTTGTTATTACCTCATTTAAATGCACAGCACTCACAATAGATAACATGGCTCCCATTATACATTGCAAAGAAGTAAACTATCCATCATCCCTGTAGCTGGGACCTGTCTAAGCTGGAAACCATTCATTCATTCAACAAATATTTGCTAAGGGTCTCTCATGTGCCGGCTTAGATGCTGGAGTTCAGTGATGAGCAAAAGGGTTCCTGTCATGGAGATTGCCCTTTAGAAAGAAAAATCAACACCATTTGAATTGTCCTAAAAATACATTTAAGGTTTCTGTTGTAACTGCTATAAAATGGTCTGAGAGCTTAAACTACAAAGAATTGACGGGGAGTTACAGGTTAGGGAAGGTTTCCCTGCAGAAATAATACTTAAACTGAGATCTGAAGGGAGAATAGAATTGGCTGGATGAATGGAAAAGGGAAGGGTATCCTGGGCCGGGGGAACAGCGTGTGCAAAGGCCCTTTGGCAGAGGGGAGCATGGTGAGCACAGTGGCCTCAAAGAAGGGCAGTTGACTGACTCAGGGGGATGAGAGCCTGAGGGTCCCAAAGCCTTTTGCTTTATGCCCTCCACCCCACACATAGGGCACCAGAGTGTCATAAGGGCTAATTAATGTTTGGTTGGCCTTCTTTCTTATAGATATCCCCATTGATGGGAAGTGGAATTGCTGGTCAGACTGGTCTCCGTGTTCTGGAGGACATAAAACAAGACAAAGACAGTGCAATAATCCACCTCCTCAGAATGGAGGCAGCCCCTGCTCGGGCCCTGCTTCAGAAACACTTAACTGTTAAGAAACACTTAACTGTTAAGAGCTTCTAGCAGAGAATACCACTGTGGGCTGCACACAGCAAGAGCTCTGAGCCCTTAGGAGCTCAGGCCAGCTCGCCCCTGCACTGGCCCCAGCTGCAGCTGACCCAAGGGTGGAGGGCAGTGCCATTCAGGATGTTTGAAATAAAGATCTTGTTTGTAAAATGCACATTGATTTGAACAAATGGTGAGTTCACAATAATTATAGATGCCTCAAGGGCATAAGCATCTTGTTAATCCTCCCTTTGCTCATCTGTACAAATGTATTTCTCACATTTATGACCAGTCAGGAACTGTGTTGGGAGTTATTCACACTGAAGTCCTACTACCTAGCAGTGACTGGCACATAGTAGGTGCCCAACTATGAATCAATGAATATATATTATGTTGTTCCTCCCTGAGAATACACTGTCACATTCAATGACAATGGCAGTTAATATCCATTAAATGACTACTGTGGGCCAGCCACCGTGCTCAGTCTGCTAACTCATTCCATCCCCGTGATAGCCTTTGTAAGGTGGATGCTGTGTTAGCCCTGCTCCATCGCTGGGGTACCTATGGCTTAGAGCAGGTGAGTAACTTGTGCGGGGTTACACAGGAAGTGGCAGAGTTAGGCTGAAAACATGGGCATTATGGGCCCCAGAGTTTTAAACTCTTCAACTGTGATGTTCCCTTCCTCTCAATAAACAGGCATTTGATGAACAAGGAATTTTTCTCAAATAAAACATAGAAGAAGGTGGTGGGGGTGGCAGGGTGTGGGGGTGTGATTGACAAGTCTCCACCCTCCACATCCTGCGGTGAGGGGATCCTGGTCCCTTGGCTCCCTTTGATGTTGACCCAGGGAGGGTGAGCTCAGGAGCTCTGAGGCAGAGATGAGTTGTGACATGAGTGCACGCCCAGAGAAAAATCTGAGCTGCAGACAAGAGCCAGGGAAACTGATCACTGAATGAGAGACACTCAAGAAAAGGAAGAAAAAAGAGGAGAGATTGTGGTACCTGGAAGAGGACACATGTCAAGGGGAAGTTCAAATTGATGGCTCTTGCGCAAGGTGCAATGTAAAACTTCCCTACCTCTGTACATTGTACTTTATTCCCTCTTGCTTTTGTACAAATCCATTCTGTGGAGGGAGGTGCTTGACGAAAATAAGAGGGCAGTTGATCTTTAGGTTACTAAAAAACAAAATATTTTTAGTTTTTAGATTAAGGCAAGGGATCATTTAAGCTTTATTGGTCTCATTCATTCCATCATATTAAAACAGTATGGGGTTGTAATACTTTCTTTGCCCCTAGGTGCTTCCTATCTGATTACAGAACTTCATGTGAATTTGTTGAAATCAAATTGGTGGGAGAAAACAAGTCAGGTGAAGGTGAATTGGCTCATCCTATTCATTTTCAACCAATTTGTTCTGGGCCACATCATCCGCTTCAAGTTTGCCGTGGGACTAAGCGCTGGGGCCTGAGACCTCAGCACATTCACAGCCCCAAAGCATGGGTCACAGCCACCCACCAGTCTGGGCCTACCAGCTACCTGGAATTGAGTCAATAGACCCACAGGAAGGAGCTTATTCTTTGCTGCTCGGGTCGTTGCTGCAAGCATGGTGATTCTGTCTGCGTCCCTGCATCCCCATGTCCCTCGCCATTGAGCTGACGGGTCTGGGCCCTTGTTTGGTTTAATATTATTGCTTTGCTGTCTGCTGTTATTTCAACAGGCTAATCCAATAATGTTTTATCTCTTTCATTATACCAAGGCCATATAATTTTCTTGAGTTATAATCTATCTTCTTTTAAGATTCCCCAGAGACGGGAAGAGCTGCTCCATCTTTGGTTGATGGGGAGCTCCCGTGAAGCCCGCAAGCATGGCAGAGCCAGACCTGCCAAATTAAATTCTCAGCCTCAATCACCGCCACCATTTCTAATGGGAAATTTAAGTTGATTATGGGGATGACAGCCCAGGTTCACGTTTATTGCATTTAGCAGAAATTGTTTATCCTATTAAATATGGTCTTAAAGGAGAAACAATTGAATCGTGGAGCACCAGTGAATACCCGGGTGACGCCCAGGTACTGCTAAACTGTGTAATGATTCTATTCTTATTAGTGGGTTGAACTTCCCCTCGTGGCTCTTTTTGCAAACAAATGGAGTTAGGAGGAGGGTGAAACATAAAGTAAGAATTAAACAAAATAAATGCAAACTGTGCTTTTGGAAAACCTTGGCAACTGTAGCCCACACTGGTGGATCCATGCGGGAGCTGCGGTATCCATGGGGCACAGTCTAGGCAATGTGGTTTGGCAGCAGTCCTGGAAGCTTGAGCATAGCACAAGGCACATGGATGGGAGAGCTTTGCACCCAGCAGCATGAATCTTTGAAGTGCTGTGAGCCCTTCCGTGTGCTTGAGGTCAGGGCAGGGGCTCAGCATCTGTGCTTCCTCACTGTGTGACCTTGGGCTTGTAACATAACTTCTGTGGGAAAAATTATAATGATCTTAACAATAATAATAATAATAGCCACCAATTACAGAGTGCTTCTCAGTTTATGAAGCCTTTTAATGTGTATTATCTCATTTAATCTTTATCTGAGATTGATGGGGTAGATATTAATACAGTGATCAGATGACATGCAGCAAAATCTTCAAATAGGCAGCACAATCCTTACCATGGATGGGCTCACTATGAAAACCAAGGTGGGCTGCTAGGGCCAGGAGAAAGAGTATCTGTTGGCAGCGAGTCCAGAGGAAAACACCATCTATGTGTTAAAGAGAACTCTCTGGCCTGCTCTCAGGCACCTATGAAAGAAAAGCCCTTGGGAGAGAGTGGGCCTGGAGATGAAAGCCCTTGGGATACCAGCCAGGCCTCCCTAGGGACCTTCAAGATTAGCATCTTAATGGAGAAATATTTTGTTTTACAGATTGAAGACGTTCTTAAGGATTTTATGTCTTCTCGCCAACATTTTCAGGCTTTGTGGATATTGTATTTGAATTCAGTCATTTGCTATCTCCTATTCCTTCTCAAATATAATGTCCTTGAAGGCAGGAATAGTGTGGGTCTACTGCTCTCATGTATCCCAAGTACCCAGCACAGTGCCTGGCACAAGCAGTGTACAGTACATAATTGTTGCATGAACTAGTGAACTAATGAAAAGGGATGTGAGTGGGGCCAAGGGCAGAACCCTCCCAGGCCAGCAAGAAACTTTAGTAAATTGGTGACACATGATGGTAGCATCATGAAATCTGGGGTAGAGCAACTCTAAGATGTGGGCATCCACACAGCAGTAGAGGGGAGGCACCTGGCTGGTGTCAGGTAGGGGAGGATAATACATGTCTGGGAGCATTGGTGACACCCACTGAGGACCCCCAGAAATCTTCTGGGAATCCTTACAGAGGAAGGCAGCACAACACTCTAATCATCGGTGGGGTAAACCTGAGAAGCACCTTTACAGGTGGATGAAGAAACCAAGGGTCAAGAAAGTTCAAGGGCCTTTCCAGTATGTGGCAAAGGTAGGAAATGAATAGCATAACTTAAAAAAAATTATCTCTCACCATACTGCCTCCCCCTCATTTTCTCACCTCTAGATCCATTTTAGGCCTAGAATGCCTTCATAAAAACCCAACACCAAGACATTGGAATGGTACATTAACTTTAAGTGTTTGAGATTCTCTATTTATTGAATGTTGTCATGAAACTGGATTTTTCTAGTGCTTTCCTCTCTTAGTTATCTTTTGTAATGTTAGGCCAGATTCCATACTGAGGTGGGTTTCCTGGGATTCCCTGAGGGGATGTCACAGTGTCTTAGGCAGAACTGGAAGCACAGATGAAGGGAACCAAGTAGCCTGGTGCTTGGAAGTGTGTGCTCCAGCACCATGCTGCCCACCTGTGGGGCATTGCCCGGCTCTCTGACTTACCTCGCAAGGTATTTGCCCACCTGTGCCTCCATTTCCTTGTCTGTGAGATAGGAATGGTGACAGTATACCTACGGGCCTTTGGGGAACATTATGTGAATTACCATATTCAAGAGAGCAGCTGGGTCAAAGTCAGCACTCCACAGTTAGTTATATCAGTGACGTATCATTGGGGCTGAGGGTTCTCAAAACCTCAACAGGAACTATGGTTTGTTTGTTTGTTAAAAGTCCTTTTACATGGCTTTAAAGACATTTGGGTGCTACACCCACCCCAACACAGGAGAACAAGAAACACATAAAATAGCTTAGCTCAGACAAGATGTCTTAATAAAGGACATGGAGGGCTTTTATATCCCAAGCTCTGGGTTATTAAGGGAACATGTAACAGCATAATAACAGTATTTGCAGAGGGCATTACCAGTTACAAAGAATTTTCACATACCTAATCCAGCTTACTCCTCTCAATGCCTGCAAGAGGAAGGATTTATTAGCTGCTTTTGACAGGTGAGGAGACAGACCCTCGGAGAGACTGAGTGATTTGCCCAAGACCACACAGCCTCAGTCCAGGGACCGCCATGCAGCCTCCAGCTTCCTGCTGCATGGCAGACCTAGCTTCATCATACAGTGGGTGCCTGCCCGCCTGCCCACCTGCCCACGCACATTGAAGAGGCCGAGAAAGGCACAGGGTGTGGCATCTGTGCAGCGGAGAAGCAGAGCCACTCTGAGGCAGGCGGACAGCGGTGTGAACCCCACCACCACCACTGCAGAGCTGAGCAATCTTGATCAAGTCACATATCTTCTCTGTGCCTCAGTATCCTCACTGGAATATGGGGCCAATACCTGCCATGGCACAAGTGTGCAGATGGAATGACACCCCAAAGGGCCTGGCACATGGTGGGTGGCTGCT